TGTGTATGTGTATATGTGTATGTGTGTATGTGTATGTGTGTATGCGCATATATATATATATATATATGATATATGTGTGTGTGTCTGTATGTATTCACCGATCCTCATAAGCGGATGGGTATAAACATCTTTGCAAGTTTGTTTTCAGGGTATGCGTGTGTGTATGAGTGTGTGTGTGTGTGTGTGTGTGTGCGTATGTGTCATGTATGTGTGTGTGTATGTGTGTATGTATGTATGTGTGTGTGGGTGTCTGTCTATGGTGTGTATGCGCGCGTATGTGCGTGTACCCTAGTGTCATATCAGTGGGCCTGCTCGTTCAAAGTGGTGTGTGTCTGTCTGTGTGTCTGTCTGTCTGTCTGTTCATGCTGGCTGTGTAGGTTTTTTACTGTCTGTCTATCAAAGAAGGATGATATGTATGTATGTGTGTGTGTGCACACATGATGTATGGGTGTGTCTATGTATATGTGTATATATATATATGTGAGTGTGTGTGTGTGTGTGTGCGCTTGTGTGGTGTGCAGCGTTGTGTGTGTGTGTATGTGGGTTTGTTTGCATATGCATGTGTGTGTGTGTGTGTGTGCGTGTGTGTGTGTGTGTGTGTGTGCGTGTTGGCTATGTAATATTTTATAGGATATGAAAGTAAAGTTAGGGTGACATCCTGAAAAGTTTGTCACCGAGGAGGACCTATTAGTACCTCATGCCAAGTGCTGCTTAAATCGTTGAGTTCTTGATGAGTGAATTTAATTTTTGTTAAATTTAGATATCAGTTTTACTGAAGTTTGTTCCTGGAATTCAAAAATTCATACTGAAAAAGCCATTGATTTTGGACGTAATTTCCAACTTCATACAACAACCATCATGATGACACCGAAAGGTGCGTGTTTCCATGTATTGATATTACTGCGAAAGCTGAAGTTTATATGAAAATTTAGCGTTAGATAGATTTCAGAAATTTGAAATTTCTAGCAAGTCATCACTGTTCTTGTTGCTGAGTGACCGGACATGGTCGAAAGCTAAATCCCAAAAAGCAGTTGCATTTATTAGTTTGATTTTTAGTTCTTCGTTTCCTCAAGCTTGTCAATAAGTGGTACTTCATTCTTGGCCTCTTTCATTCAGCTACTCGGTCAAAATAAATTTTCATGTAAAATTTAATAAGATTTCGACGAATTGGTCCATTATTTCCGTCTAAATTTCTTGATTTATTAGGTTAACCAATCTTTCGCAAGCGTCGTTTGTTACGTAATTTTTTACGAGGAGTCATTATCGGGAATTATTAAGATGATAGTAAATTAGGAAACGAGTAACCTGATGTTTTTTCCTCTTCTTTGCTCACTCTTTTTCCCAATAGTTTTTTTAGAAATTCTATTCCAATTTTAATGTATGTATGATATTCATTTGTTGTTTATTTTCCAGGTCATATGGTTGCAAATGGCGCAGATGGAAAAATTGAACTAAGCGATGAATTGAAAGTAGCAATAGCGGCTGAAGTTCGCGCCCAGATTGTGCCAGTGGTCAAAGAAATAGTTCGTGAGGTGGTCACTGAGATACGCAGTGTGATGACCGAAGTAATGGCACCTATATATGATGAATTGAATCAACTTCGTAGCACTACCGCTACTACAAATGGCGGTAATACGAATGCTTTGCAGTTGCATGCAGCTTCTGCAGCTACACCTTCTATCACTGCACCAGCAACAGTTGTTGCATACCCGTCGGAGAGCGCCATTTTAGCGGAAGTTTATGCAGCAACAAGTAATGTTGCAGTCACGATGGGTGGCACTGCATGTGCAGATGCTGCTACAGCTGCTGCAGTTGCTGCACAAAATGCACAATTGCAGCAATTTCTCAAGGTTTGTCATTTTATAATCCCGAAATTTTCATGTTTCTGCTTTATGGCAAAACATTTATTTTACAAAAAGCACCAATAGGTGCAAAAATCGCTGTAAATTCGGACGCAGCGAATCAATTGATGAGAAATAATAAATTAAAATGATTTAAATAAGTTTGAAATAATCCCAAAGTATATCCTCTAAAAGTTAGTGTTCGATATGCAATCCTTATCTTAGTAACATCGATATCTTTGGAAGTGATACTCCTCAAGCTTACTTGAAATTTATTTTTAGGAAAATGCGGGTACTGCTTATGATCCAAATAAAGGTAAAATGTATATGGAAAATGGAATTGGTGCCAAAAGTCCGGAAGATTTCGTTGAGTAAGCATTTCACTTTTAGTCATATTTGATCTAAAGTTTTTTAGGAATTATTTTGAAATTTTTGCAAAGTTTTTTTCAGGCAACCAAGCGAACCACGGGCACGTGAATCGACGAGCGATTGTGCTGCATACAATTATGTTTATTATAATACCGCATCTGCAGTACCAATTATGTCAATGTTGGATCCTGGGAGGTATCATTTTTATCATATTGCTTCAAAAAAATGATTTTTGACGGAAAACTACAAAATGCATGTCTTATTGTATGCATCTACAAAATTCGTAGGCATAATTCAAGGATGTTAAGATGAAAACAATATTTTGAATATCAGAATTTTGAAAGTATTTTTTTAAATATCTAATTTGTTTCAGTAATATATGTGTTTGTCAAAAAGTACCCAGTATATTTCTTGGAAAAGAAGGTGGGAAAATTTCATTTCTTGTCGATACGCGAACAGTACCACTGAAAGATCTTACAGCTGATAATTTAGGTAAGTGGCAGACACATTCCTCTACATTATCATTATCATTAGGATTATTTTGTTCTTTCAATATCCATTTATAACACCATTTGTTGAGCTTATTTCTAGGAAGCTGGACGTGCCGTTTTACTGCTCACATGAAATCCCGGAAGTATATGGTGAAGAAAGGTAAAGTAGTAGGACATGTAAAGCAATATGGGCAAGTATATTCGGTACCGCATGATTACGATTATATCCTTCATCGTCAATATTATTGTCATGGTAATACCATTGGTCCAGCAACAATTCGAAAGAATATTTGGTATTTGTCTAACAAATTACATGGTGGTGAAGTTATTGGCTGCGCTATCATTTCCTATGAGATTGGTGATAATGCAACAGTAAAAATTTCAAAATTACGACAGCGAACTCTTCTCAATAATTCATCCGAGAATTTGCGCCTTTTGAAAGCTGAAATATCGGCAACGCAGGAAGAAATGGATGTTAGTAATGTAGCGATGAATCCGAACGCGGAATTACAACGATTTGTGAGTAATATTCAAGTACCACAGCAGTAAAAATATAAATTGTTCTCTCATTTTTTTTTTTCTTCTGTTACTTTACGATGAAATTCTGAAACGGCTGCAAGGAGCGAGAATTAGGTGTGCACAACAGATCATTTAATACTTTAAAATTAGCATGAAGAGTACAACGGCTACGCAGTTGTACCCTTAATACTGATTTAAGAAATATGAATAAAAAATTTGAGGTTAAAAAATGGAATTTATAATTTTTCTTTTTCATTTTTAAAATTTGTAACATATTATAAAATTATTATTTTCGAAAGTGCCTGCTAGGAAATGAAAAAGTTAGGTTTATGTTATTTGAAGCTTTTGGTTTAAAATTTAGTAATTTGACATTTTTTTCTCTGAAGTTGATGTTAAAATTCGGAAGCTTGCTTTTAATTAATATGCTGATCCTTTGATAGTAAAAGCAGAAGAGTTTAGTCGAAGCCATTTAAATTAAATTTGTAGCTTACTACAACTGTTTCTCAATGCATATGTTTCCTACCTTGCTGAAATTCAGGAAACAAAAATTTTATTTATTTGAGTGTTACTATGTTAACATAAGTTATCATCTCTTGTTCTTTTTTAAATATATTTAAGTAGTGTGTCAGCCATTGGGTACTGACAGAATTACTCTTTTTTTACATTTAATATTTCATATGTTATTTTCCTAATTTAAATGCAGCACTATAAATACAATAACTTTTGCTTTATTTTAAATTCTTCATTTTATGATCTCCTAATGTTTTCTCATTACAAATGCGCAAAATTCGAAAAAGAACTGCAAATGAAAGGAAAAAGACATATGTCGCATTTGCACTTTATTGTACAATAATAAATTTTCCGTCAAAATTAGTTTTTTTTCTGCTCTCCAATATAGCCATTTCTGAGTTTTGTTATCAATTGTGATGATATTTGGTGTGCAAAAATTGTTTTTATTTTGCGTCTATTTTCATTTTGCTTCACATTTAATATTATTGTGCTACCAGCAAAAGTTTTTTTTTTGTATATTTATACATTTTTTTAGAAGACAATTTCCTGTTTCATAAGTTTCTCATTCTCATCAGTCTCATTTATTTTAAACAACTCTTTTATTGCGCTTTCGTTTACATTTTAATGAATTTTTGCAATTTGAGTAACTTAATATGCTAGAAAATTGTAAATGTATTGTTGCCAGTGCTCTCTACATAGCTCATACTTTTTACATATTTCAAGATCTTAAAAAAATTATCATTTTGGACACTTTTGTAGATTATTGCTTCATCAAAAATGTCGGCTTATTGGTGGAAAAATATACTCAATAAGCATTTGGATATTTTATGGGAACAAAATGGAAACAAATAATCATGTTCATATCGACAAAACAAGACTAATTTAAAGTGACATCGATAGATTGCAACAACCAAGATGATGTGCATTATATTATATAATTAATACTGCGAACTTTTGCGTATGCATATTTGCGCAATTATTGCAACAATACTTCATGATCATAGTAAAATAGCTTTGAAAAAAATACGAACTCTATGAAGCAAAAATTTGAAGAAAAAAAGCTTTTCCAAAATATTTATCTTTCCTCTCAATCAAAATATATGCTCTCCATCGAATAGATTAAAATGAATTGATTTCGAAAGCAAAGGGATAATTTGTATCAAATCATCATTATATAAGAAGAAAGTATTAAAATTAGCTCGGAAAGTTTCAAGGAATGTAAAAGGCTCTGAATTTTTAAAATGGATTAGTAATGTCGCAAAAGTCGCGGAAACAAAAAATTTTAAACAAATAAAATTAGGAATGAAATTCATATGGTCTTAACTTTCCATCCAAAGAACTATAAAAGGTTATTCTATTGGATAGTTATAAAATTATATTTTGTTAGTTATAAAATTATATTTTGTAAGAATCTTTTAGAAAAATGATTCATCTCAACTTTTAACGTTTTCCCATGTCGAAAATTTAATCCGTTATCTAACTTGTAATCATTTAACAT